TATAGTCATTTTTATTATTCTGTAGAATGTCTGTCTTTTTTGTTGCTTCTGTGATTTCTCTTTGATGTCTTTTTATTTTATCTGATAAATTTATATGTAGATTCTTTTTATTTATGCTGCTTGGTATACTGAGGTCTGTTTTTCAATTATTATGTTTCTTATTACGGGATGTTTTAGTTGGTTCTTTTTCAAATCTTCTTGGTCATGTCGTTCGACTTTGAACTTTTTTTCATTTGATCTTTTATTTCTTTAAACATGTTTATGCATGATTATTTTTACTCTGTGACTTATGTATCTACTATCAGAAATGCTTGAGGATCAAAATCTATTGTTAGTTATTCTGCTGACTCACACTTACATTGAGTTATTTCTTCATGTATTGGGTAATTTTAATTATGAGCTCCGATATGGTAGATGGTGATGGGCTAGGGCTGGGGAGAAGGCTTTTCTCCAGAAAGCATTGGCATTTGCTTCTTCTGGGCTCCAGAGGGTGCTACCAACCTGTAACTATTTTAACTTAGTTTCATGGGTGAGGATTCTTGACCTTGGAGGTAGTATAAATTTGAACCTCAAATACACATTGAAGCAGTCCTCTGGCTACAAATTCTCAAGAAAGACTTTTTGTTTTTTTATGTTTTTGCACCCAGAGGCAGCAGAGAGAGATTTTTCCCCTGGTCCTCTTTATCCGTATGAGTCCCTCCAACTTGAAGGTCTTCATGTAGGTGGTTGTACCCAATGGAGCCCGGATTTCCATGTTCGTACCCACTCTGGTTTGGGCTGATTATTCCCCTTTTTGTGGGGAGACATGGTCCTTGGGTATTTCCCCGCATTTTTCTGTGAGTTTCAGAAAGGCATTTTAAATTTATTGTAAATAATATTCCATCTCCATATTTTAGTCTGAGAGGGGGTATCAGTCGAATATATCTAGATAAGCATACTGTTGGGATCTCAAAGCCTTCATACAAGACATTTATTGTTTATTATATTTAGGTCTTTGTCTAGAATGCATTTTTGTATTTGGAATAAGACTAGAGTTCATTTTTTCCCCTTTTACCAGTTACCAGCTGCCAGTTACCAGCTGTATTTATTATTAATTCATTCTTTTTTGCTGAACTGAACTATTATACAGTCGTCCCTTTGTATCGTGGGGAGGGATGGTTCCAGGACCCCCAATACCAAAATTGATGGAAGCTCAAGTCCCTGACATAAAATGGCATAGTACTTGCATATAATCTACACACATCCTCCTATATACTTTAAATCCTCTTTAGATTACTTATAATACCTAATAGAATGTATATGCTATGTAAACAATTGTATTGGTTTTCTTTTTGTATTATTTTTATTGTTGTATTGGTTTTTAAATTTTTTTTAATATTTTCCATCGAAGTTGGTTGAATCCGTGGATGTAGAACCTACGAATGCAAGAGGGCCCACTGTATTTGTCATAAATTAACCTACGCATATTCTGGATTTAATTCTGGTTCCATCTTCTGTCCCACCCATCTATCTGTCCATTTCTATACCAATTCCATACTGATTAGATTCCAATGGATTTATGTATGTTCTGATGTATGAAGATGTCAGTCTCATTTGAATATTCTTATGTGTTTGTTTGTTTTTAATTTTCTAGCTATTCTCAAGGATTTATTTTCAGGAAATATTTTTCACTCATTTTTTAAGGAGGTGGATCTCGGCATGTATTTGTTGCACTGAATTGAGAGCTGCATGGTGAGGTGCAAGGAGCTTCACTTGAGTAAGCTGCTTTCCCTCCCCAGGACTCAGTTTCCTCCCTGAAGAAAGAGGGTTGGTTCTTGAGACCTTTGGGCTCCTTTCCTGCCCCGGAGTCCCAGCCCGGGTTGGCTCAGCCCTGGGGCTTCCTGGTGAGCACTGGACACACTGTGATAAGAGCAGCTGGTTATGTCCTCCCTGGCCAGGTCATCCACGTTGGGCGTGGTGCTCCAGCAGTTACGTACATTCACCTGCACAGCACCTCCCTTAATCCTCACACACCCCTGGGAGGCAGGTGCTACTGATACTGCCTCCATTCTACAGAGGGAGAAACTGAGGTACAGAGAGCTTTAATGACTTATTTGCTGAAGATGTTGGTGGGTTAAAAAAGATAACAAGGTGGGCCGAGCCCGTGGCGCACTCGGGAGAGTGCGGCCCTGGGAGCGCAGCAGCGCTCCCGCTGCCGGTTGGGATCCTATACAGGGATGACCCGTGCGCTCACAGCGCTCACTGGCTGAGCGCGGTGAGGCCGGTCTCAAAAAAAGGACAAAAAAAAAAAAAAAAAAAAAAAAAAAGGGAAAACAAGGGAATGAAGTGGGGAGCTTTGGGTGAATAAGAAAAGACCAAATTGAGTTATTACATGCTTGGCGCCCACTATCCTTGGTACATGCAGATGACCTCAGTACTAATAGCTAACGTATTTGTTGAGAGCTCCCTATGTACTTTAGGAATATTAACGCATTAATCCCACGATCTTCTTATCTAACAGCACTGTTATCTCCACTTACAGACAGTTGAGATTGAGTCTCAGAGACGTGAAGTAACCGGCCCAAGGTCACCCAGCAGAGACGGGCTGAGGAACCCAGACCGTCTGGCTCCGGGGACGGTGCTGTAGGCAACCTCAAAAATGACACCCCCAGAGAGTGTGGGGACCCCAGCACTGCCATCGTGTCCCCTGCAGCAGACGGGGACTGTGCAAACACGGCAGCGTTGCCATTGGAAGGAGGGGGCAGAGCTCGTGGCTGTTTCTAAATGTTTAAAACTGCCGTTAAATTATACTTTGGCTGTTTTCATGTAAAGAAGGTGCACCAAGGAGGCTCGGAAGAGGATTTCCAGGGAGGGGCCGCTCTGAATTTCCTAACTTCGCCACGGTGATCATGTGTCACGTACTCTTGTGTGATTTGAAAATATTAAAGTCGCATGAATAATGCAAGAGGCGAGCTCCTCGCCCCCAGGAGCACTTATATAACTGCGGGGGGCACAGCGACCAGGCCCCGCGACAGGCCGCCCGGGCAGGGCTGCCGGGCCTCGCCTAGCCCCGCCCCGCTGGCCCCGCCCCGCTGGCCCCGCCCCGCTGGCCTCGCCTAGCCCCGCCCA